ACCATTATGTCCGCGGGAATATATCAAAACTGCAACAACTGACTTGATGATACAGAATATCACATGTAGAGTTTTAACTTTATTTTACGCCATAACCTTCGTTTTTATATTAAATTTATAGTTCATTGTACTTTTATACAATATATTTTATAATGTAATAATTATCAAGTATCCAGCTTTACCATCACAATTGCAGTTCAGTAGTGTGTGAATATAATAATCACGTGTTTGCCTGATGGTGGCTTTAATAGCCGAAACATGTAGCTAAGCTAATTTTAGCCTTGACCTTTATACTGTTGTTGTGTTGTGACAGACTCTAATAAAGAAATTATATATAATAACATAACAGGATACATGAAATGAAAATATAATTTATATGATGACATGTCAACAGTTTCTCCCCCTTCCTTACTTATTTTATTCACTTCATATTGGGCATTTTCACAGTTGTACATACCCACTGAAAGAGAAATCTGCCTGAACAGAATTATGGTCAGTCTCACACTGTGCAGTTCTATAGATTTTTATATCCTATACTTCCGTACTGTTCTCCTGATATGTTCTTACATAATCAATCAGAATGATGATTACTTGTAGGTTATTTACCTGGATATTTATGTAAATCTTTATATGAAAAGAAAGTGTTATTGAGTTTCAGTTCACAGATTTCAGTTTGGTGTCTGACATTATTATTCGTTATCCAACTCTGCAATCATGGTCTCCCATACATATAATTTCTTGTCAATATGCGCACTTATCTAAATTCTGTCCAAGTCTTCCTCAAAACAACCCTGTTCCTCTTGTAAAACATATTCTGCAGATGCATATATCCCAATCACTACACCTCCCAATCAAAAACTCTATATGTAAAGTTATTATTGTTTTATTCACTTAAGTCACATTTATTATAAAATTCATGTATTTATTTTTCATGTGTATTGATACACTTGCGTTTGTTTTTTTTTTTTTTTTTGTCTCTTCCACATCAAACATGGGAAGAATGTTCCAATATATTCCTCCCCTTTTCCTTTTCTGTTCACTTTTGTTAATACTACAAGGGATAGTCAATAAATTGGTCACAGATGAATACAAAATGTAAACCATGTGATATTCAAACCTGAAAAACATTTACCTCTCGACATATCCACCACCAACATTGATACCTCTCTCATCTCTTTACAAGTGCATCAAAACCCACAACACAGAAGTATTTTGAATGTTGTCTCAGACAATTCTGCACATGTTTCAGAATCTGAAACTTCTGAACGTCTTTGAGAGAATTTCTCGTCTTCGTTGTAAACCACTTTATGCAACAAACACTTCTATCATAAAGAGGAAACATTTCTTTATGAGTATTCTTTTCAGTGAGTCCTTTTACCCACAGAAGAGGAACAACAGGACACTGCTCTTCGGTATCACACTCCTCAAGCACGGTCATCATTTTGACTACTGAAACCAGCCTCTAAATATGTGTATGAATGTCTGCTACATATGCTGTCATGAAGCTGGACCATGCTACTACCTAGTGACACATATAGAAAAAATATTACGTTCATTACAGCTGCTTACTTCCATTTGTGACCTATTTATTGACTCTCCCTCCTATAATACCAATATTTCTCTCCTCCGAATCTTTCCACCTCATTTACTTTTACTCTAATACCCCGTACAGTTCATAATCCAATTCTTATCATCTGCTTATTTCACTTGTTTTTCTTACTTAGGCCACAAATTGTTTCTCTTAATTATATTTTTTATAGCTATGGTATTACTTTAGCAGTAGTGTAGTTGGTTGAGGCACTATGCTACAAGCCAGAAGGTCGCAGAATCGAATCCCAATCAGGTAATTAGTTTTTTTTTTCAATATACCTGATCCTTCCAGCTGCATTATGGCCCTGGAGTTGACTCAGCCTCTAACAGAAATGAGCACCAGGAATATTTTGGGGGTAAAGGGCGGCCACCGCATAAGGCTGACAACCTTACCACCATCTATGAGACAACTGTCTAGAAAATGTGGCAACCTCAACATCTCACAACCCTATGGGCCTCCACGGCCTGTTACAGGGATACCTTTACTTACTTTTTTATTACTTTAATTATTAAAATACCATACAACAGTTTAATTGTAAGCATATATTACTTTTTTGACTGTGTTATTTTGTGTTAGTTAAAATGATTTTTGTTGTTGCTGTTGTTGTATTTCTTGTGTGTTTGATTTTTGATTTTGTATCTGTGATAACTCTGTAATTGGCCACTAGGCCATTGAGTCAGAATGCAAATGAATGAATAATTATTACAATGTCACATGTTAGTGACTAGACATGGAGGTTTGCATTAGTAATCGGATTTACTGAACATCTGTAACTACAAGGGATTATAGAACTCCCACTAATCTATACGCTTCCTGTACACTGTGCAGGAACAGCATGGTGGGTCATCAGTCTGTGGGTGATGACCTACTTCTTCTGGGACCCTCCATTGCCCTGGGTCTGTTCCTTCAGCTGTTGGTGCCCTACAGCTAGTGGCCATTCACCATATCAGACCTCCAGTGCTCTGATAGCTTCCACTGTGGCCTCTTCTTTGGGGACTTCCTGATGCTCCTCTATGGTGTCCAACTCTTCTTGATTGGCTTCCAAATCCGTGGTGTTTCTTGGAAGACATCCACCGTGGCCTCCATTTTTTTACAGGCTGGCCTTCATCCTCCTTGGGTTGGCTTTTGCCTTTTCTAAACAGGCCTCCATCGCTTCTGGGCAGGCCACTGTCTCTTTTCGCCAGGCATCATACTGGTGTCCATTCTTTCCCGATGGGCTTCCATTTTGGCTATTGTTTCTTCCTCTGTCCTGGCTTAGTGGATATCCACCCGGGAGACAAGAGTACCTTGAAGGACCTCAAACTTCTCATTATTGACATCTATCCTGGCTTCCATCTTTTCATGACTGGCGTCCATCTTAGCATCCATTCTTGCTTTGCTGGTTTCCATCTTGGACAGCATTTCTCTTTTAGGAGTTCTTGGTTGGCTCTCATTTCCTCTTTCAGGTGTTCTTGGCCGGCTTTCATTTCCTTTAGGTTGGTGTCCCTTTTTTCTTGGTTGGTTCTCATTTCCTCTCAGTTCTTACTTCAGCCAGCAGCAAGCCATCATTTGTTCCTTCTCCATAGCGTGGCGATATAACTTCTTACTGCAGTCTTCAATCCAGCTACTTCTGACACCAGCTGTCGTGCATATGAGTGATTACAGATGGGGTTTGAATTGGTAATTGGGTTCATTTAACACTTACAGATTGTAACTACAAGTAATTATGGCACTGTAGTTTACTGCAGCGTGCACTAAGTCTTCTCAGTCTGCTGTGTTTTCAATAGTCATTGCCTGGTAGCAGCAGACGCCCTCCTTACTCTAGGTTCCCAGACTATCCCTGTGCCTCAGCTACCAGCTTCTCACAGCAACAGCTCACAAGAACCAAAATACAGCAGCCCTCTAACTGACTGCACACCAACCAACTCACTTCACTCCACTATACTCAACTGCATTGCACTCACTACACTGCGCTGCACTAACTAACTCAACTCGGTCGGTCGAGTGATAAGCCTCGGAGTGGGCTCACACAAAATGCTGCTTCCAACAGTACTTTCGTTGTTGTGTGCAGGCCACTGCCTAGCAATGGCTCCAGTACTGTTGTGTGTTTATGAAGCTGTTACATAGCAATGGCCACTGTCTTAGTCATCTGTTTCAGAGTCATTGCCTAGCAATGTGTCTATATGCCATACTATTTACGTCCTAAAGGACCATGAATAGCTGGATATTGCTGTCACTGGAGTTTTCGGCTGCCGTGGAAACATGTTGACTGGCTGTTGCCATGCAATGGACAACTCTTCTGGGTCCACTATTCCAACTTTCAGCTGCCACGCCACACTTCCACCTCCTTAAGGCTGCTTGTGCAGAATAGCCTACTGGCATATTGTCATTTCTTCTTTTCAAATGGGATGTGCCTGTGATGTCTGTGATCATCCTTGTGAATGGCACCTTATTGCTGTGCTGGCCCCAATGCTTCTATTCCAGTGCGTGCAGACAGAACATTCAAAACTGGCCAGCATTCCTACAGCACCAGCACATAAGCTGTCAGCAGTCTCTTCTTTCATTTGGAGAGGGGTTGGCTCCTCCTCAGAGTCCTGTCACTTGTTCTTGGAAGCCTGACTGCCAGCTTTATGACCTCTAGCTTGAAGGTCTGCCTGAGGGTCTCACTGAGTGTTTTCCTGCCTCCCAGAAGTAGCTGCTATTTTATGCTTTGTTCCCTTATGCAACTGATGAACATCCTGCGTGCTCCCCTAAGAACATGGTCCTGGGTAGTGCAGGAAAGGCACAGTAGGTTAACTGTTCAATGGCAATGGCAAACTCGGGTAAGGGATCAGTAATAATTTGCGTTGTTTTCAGCCGAGTGTGGTACAAAGAGACCCAGTGCTGGTTCCCAAATTGGTCCTCAAGTGGCCAGATAGTCTCCTTGTACGTCACTCCGCTGGGGTTTCCATGTAAAACATTGGAAGTCCGGCCTTGTAGGGTGGTAAGAAGGTGTGTGGCTTTTACACATGGTACCCATTTATAATGTTATGCAATGGCCTCTGTCTTTTCTTGACTGGCTTCCATCCTGGCCTCCAACTTTTCTTGATGAGCCCTCATCTTTTCTAGACAGACCTCTGTTACTTCTCAGCAGGCCTCCATTCACTTCTTGGAAGGTCTCCAGCCTTTCTTGTTCATTTTTTCCATGATGGCTACCACATGCTCCAATACCGTCATGATTATCCATCATGTGGGTTACAATTCAGCAATGCACAATTTGGTAAGTCCAACAATTCAATCCAAACCCACTTCTGACACCAGTTGTCATATGTGACTAGACAAGGGATTTGGGCTGGTAACCAGATTTACTGAACACTTATAACTCATAACTACACTAATATATACACTCTACAAATTACCGCAGCATACACTAAGTCTCTGTTTGTTACAGTCTTCACTGATCATCATTTGGCAGCAGCATCTAACAATGCAACTCAAGATTCTGGACTGGACTGGTAACCTTCACTCCCACCTCAGACTGTCAACTTGGCTGGTGTCCTCATTATATAACCTCAGCATAGACTGCACAGAAAACACTGCTTCCAACAACTCCTCCATTGTTAAGTGGACTCTTACCTTGCAATGGCCCAGGCATTGTTAATGCAGGAGTGTGTTTTAGTTGCCATGGGAATGTGTTTATTGGCCATTGTCTAGTAAAGAACAACTTTTCTTGGCCTGTTATTACAGCTTTCAGCCGTCATGTCACAGTAATCATAAAATCAAACATACAAACAATCAGTCCCTATATATACTCATGTCAGCCAAGAAAAACAGTTCATTTATCAGAAGCAGATAAGACACATTCTGAAATCTTAAAATGCAACTTATTGGTATGATGGTCTGTTGTTAGGGAGATAACTGCATAATGCATAAACACTCAGCAGTCATATTATCAAATTATTTTAATTAAATTTGTCCAGCCCTGAAATGCAACAGACTCTACATGAGTATAGGTATATGTTCAACTAAAATACCAACAGAATTTTCTACCAGAAGACATTTACACAAAACTCCTTGGGGGATATACTCATCTAAAGAGCGTTCCATCAAAAGCCATCACTACACTGAACTAGAGGTTCAGAGTTTACACCACCATAAATATTTTAACACAGGAACAAAATGCTAGACAACACAGAGAAGTCTATACTAAAAAAATAATTAATTTAACAGGTATGTCAAACATCAAAGCATGAATTCAAAACGCAGAGCCTAGGCATACGTTTCATCCCATATGACGCGACATGGGCTTCCTAACCAAATTAAACCCCTTCATATTGTCAACCCAATATCCACTTCTTCAATTTGTATGTGGAAAATGGCCCATAGGGAACAACAGCCAAAAGAGTGAAGCAAACATAAGGCAAAAATTTGAGGTTTTCACAGCAGTGACTATGAAGAAAGCCGTCTTCTAGAATGTGGTGCCGTGTAACCTCCGAAATATGGCAGACCCTATAGGCCACTCAGGTTCATTGCAGCCCTAGAGCTACAGGGTTAATGCCATCCATTTAACCTTCCCTTCTCTCCCCCTAACACATACTCTATACCAGCTCTGGCCCACTACCTGCTGGCCATTCCACCAGACCCTTCCCCTCCCCTTCTCTACTATTTCCCTGTGTAGCCACACTNAAAATGTAAACCATGTGATATTCAAACCTGAAAAACATTTACCTCTCGACATATCCACCACCAACATTGATACCTCTCTCATCTCTTTACAAGTGCATCAAAACCCACAACACAGAAGTATTTTGAATGTTGTCTCAGACAATTCTGCACATGTTTCAGAATCTGAAACTTCTGAACGTCTTTGAGAGAATTTCTCGTCTTCGTTGTAAACCACTTTATGCAACAAACACTTCTATCATAAAGAGGAAACATTTCTTTATGAGTATTCTTTTCAGTGAGTCCTTTTACCCACAGAAGAGGAACAACAGGACACTGCTCTTCGGTATCACACTCCTCAAGCACGGTCATCATTTTGACTACTGAAACCAGCCTCTAAATATGTGTATGAATGTCTGCTACATATGCTGTCATGAAGCTGGACCATGCTACTACCTAGTGACACATATAGAAAAAATATTACGTTCATTACAGCTGCTTACTTCCATTTGTGACCTATTTATTGACTCTCCCTCCTATAATACCAATATTTCTCTCCTCCGAATCTTTCCACCTCATTTACTTTTACTCTAATACCCCGTACAGTTCATAATCCAATTCTTATCATCTGCTTATTTCACTTGTTTTTCTTACTTAGGCCACAAATTGTTTCTCTTAATTATATTTTTTATAGCTATGGTATTACTTTAGCAGTAGTGTAGTTGGTTGAGGCACTATGCTACAAGCCAGAAGGTCGCAGAATCGAATCCCAATCAGGTAATTAGTTTTTTTTTTCAATATACCTGATCCTTCCAGCTGCATTATGGCCCTGGAGTTGACTCAGCCTCTAACAGAAATGAGCACCAGGAATATTTTGGGGGTAAAGGGCGGCCACCGCATAAGGCTGACAACCTTACCACCATCTATGAGACAACTGTCTAGAAAATGTGGCAACCTCAACATCTCACAACCCTATGGGCCTCCACGGCCTGTTACAGGGATACCTTTACTTACTTTTTTATTACTTTAATTATTAAAATACCATACAACAGTTTAATTGTAAGCATATATTTCTTTTTTGACTGTGTTATTTTGTGTTAGTTAAAATGATTTTTGTTGTTGCTGTTGTTGTATTTCTTGTGTGTTTGATTTTTGATTTTGTATCTGTGATAACTCTGTAATTGGCCACTAGGCCATTGAGTCAGAATGCAAATGAATGAATAATTATTACAATGTCACATGTTAGTGACTAGACATGGAGGTTTGCATTAGTAATCGGATTTACTGAACATCTGTAACTACAAGGGATTATAGAACTCCCACTAATCTATACGCTTCCTGTACACTGTGCAGGAACAGCATGGTGGGTCATCAGTCTGTGGGTGATGACCTACTTCTTCTGGGACCCTCCATTGCCCTGGGTCTGTTCCTTCAGCTGTTGGTGCCCTACAGCTAGTGGCCATTCACCATATCAGACCTCCAGTGCTCTGATAGCTTCCACTGTGGCCTCTTCTTTGGGGACTTCCTGATGCTCCTCTATGGTGTCCAACTCTTCTTGATTGGCTTCCAAATCCGTGGTGTTTCTTGGAAGACATCCACCGTGGCCTCCATTTTTTTACAGGCTGGCCTTCATCCTCCTTGGGTTGGCTTTTGCCTTTTCTAAACAGGCCTCCATCGCTTCTGGGCAGGCCACTGTCTCTTTTCGCCAGGCATCATACTGGTGTCCATTCTTTCCCGATGGGCTTCCATTTTGGCTATTGTTTCTTCCTCTGTCCTGGCTTAGTGGATATCCACCCGGGAGACAAGAGTACCTTGAAGGACCTCAAACTTCTCATTATTGACATCTATCCTGGCTTCCATCTTTTCATGACTGGCGTCCATCTTAGCATCCATTCTTGCTTTGCTGGTTTCCATCTTGGACAGCATTTCTCTTTTAGGAGTTCTTGGTTGGCTCTCATTTCCTCTTTCAGGTGTTCTTGGCCGGCTTTCATTTCCTTTAGGTTGGTGTCCCTTTTTTCTTGGTTGGTTCTCATTTCCTCTCAGTTCTTACTTCAGCCAGCAGCAAGCCATCATTTGTTCCTTCTCCATAGCGTGGCGATATAACTTCTTACTGCAGTCTTCAATCCAGCTACTTCTGACACCAGCTGTCGTGCATATGAGTGATTACAGATGGGGTTTGAATTGGTAATTGGGTTCATTTAACACTTACAGATTGTAACTACAAGTAATTATGGCACTGTAGTTTACTGCAGCGTGCACTAAGTCTTCTCAGTCTGCTGTGTTTTCAATAGTCATTGCCTGGTAGCAGCAGACGCCCTCCTTACTCTAGGTTCCCAGACTATCCCTGTGCCTCAGCTACCAGCTTCTCACAGCAACAGCTCACAAGAACCAAAATACAGCAGCCCTCTAACTGACTGCACACCAACCAACTCACTTCACTCCACTATACTCAACTGCATTGCACTCACTACACTGCGCTGCACTAACTAACTCAACTCGGTCGGTCGAGTGATAAGCCTCGGAGTGGGCTCACACAAAATGCTGCTTCCAACAGTACTTTCGTTGTTGTGTGCAGGCCACTGCCTAGCAATGGCTCCAGTACTGTTGTGTGTTTATGAAGCTGTTACATAGCAATGGCCACTGTCTTAGTCATCTGTTTCAGAGTCATTGCCTAGCAATGTGTCTATATGCCATACTATTTACGTCCTAAAGGACCATGAATAGCTGGATATTGCTGTCACTGGAGTTTTCGGCTGCCGTGGAAACATGTTGACTGGCTGTTGCCATGCAATGGACAACTCTTCTGGGTCCACTATTCCAACTTTCAGCTGCCACGCCACACTTCCACCTCCTTAAGGCTGCTTGTGCAGAATAGCCTACTGGCATATTGTCATTTCTTCTTTTCAAATGGGATGTGCCTGTGATGTCTGTGATCATCCTTGTGAATGGCACCTTATTGCTGTGCTGGCCCCAATGCTTCTATTCCAGTGCGTGCAGACAGAACATTCAAAACTGGCCAGCATTCCTACAGCACCAGCACATAAGCTGTCAGCAGTCTCTTCTTTCATTTGGAGAGGGGTTGGCTCCTCCTCAGAGTCCTGTCACTTGTTCTTGGAAGCCTGACTGCCAGCTTTATGACCTCTAGCTTGAAGGTCTGCCTGAGGGTCTCACTGAGTGTTTTCCTGCCTCCCAGAAGTAGCTGCTATTTTATGCTTTGTTCCCTTATGCAACTGATGAACATCCTGCGTGCTCCCCTAAGAACATGGTCCTGGGTAGTGCAGGAAAGGCACAGTAGGTTAACTGTTCAATGGCAATGGCAAACTCGGGTAAGGGATCAGTAATAATTTGCGTTGTTTTCAGCCGAGTGTGGTACAAAGAGACCCAGTGCTGGTTCCCAAATTGGTCCTCAAGTGGCCAGATAGTCTCCTTGTACGTCACTCCGCTGGGGTTTCCATGTAAAACATTGGAAGTCCGGCCTTGTAGGGTGGTAAGAAGGTGTGTGGCTTTTACACATGGTACCCATTTATAATGTTATGCAATGGCCTCTGTCTTTTCTTGACTGGCTTCCATCCTGGCCTCCAACTTTTCTTGATGAGCCCTCATCTTTTCTAGACAGACCTCTGTTACTTCTCAGCAGGCCTCCATTCACTTCTTGGAAGGTCTCCAGCCTTTCTTGTTCATTTTTTCCATGATGGCTACCACATGCTCCAATACCGTCATGATTATCCATCATGTGGGTTACAATTCAGCAATGCACAATTTGGTAAGTCCAACAATTCAATCCAAACCCACTTCTGACACCAGTTGTCATATGTGACTAGACAAGGGATTTGGGCTGGTAACCAGATTTACTGAACACTTATAACTCATAACTACACTAATATATACACTCTACAAATTACCGCAGCATACACTAAGTCTCTGTTTGTTACAGTCTTCACTGATCATCATTTGGCAGCAGCATCTAACAATGCAACTCAAGATTCTGGACTGGACTGGTAACCTTCACTCCCACCTCAGACTGTCAACTTGGCTGGTGTCCTCATTATATAACCTCAGCATAGACTGCACAGAAAACACTGCTTCCAACAACTCCTCCATTGTTAAGTGGACTCTTACCTTGCAATGGCCCAGGCATTGTTAATGCAGGAGTGTGTTTTAGTTGCCATGGGAATGTGTTTATTGGCCATTGTCTAGTAAAGAACAACTTTTCTTGGCCTGTTATTACAGCTTTCAGCCGTCATGTCACAGTAATCATAAAATCAAACATACAAACAATCAGTCCCTATATATACTCATGTCAGCCAAGAAAAACAGTTCATTTATCAGAAGCAGATAAGACACATTCTGAAATCTTAAAATGCAACTTATTGGTATGATGGTCT